AATTAATTAAAAAGTGCATCACACGATTGAAAGAGAATGCGTCGACAAAACTATTGTAGAATACTACGAAAATTTCTTTCATAAAATGTGTTCTATTTAAATGTATTCTATTCTGTAAACAAATTAATTAAATTTTGTTTTTCTATTGATTAAACTTCACTACTAACGGAATCGTTAATATATTTAATCTCTTGTACTCAAATCATAATCTTATCCATTATTTACAGCATTTTGATTAACAATTCAAGAGTATAAAACAATAGAAACGCCATTTAAATAAATATATTTTATTTTTGTTTAGGTTCTTACTGCAAACGCGTGTTTCTTTTAAATAATCCTTTAAATATCTGTGTAAAACAAAGGACATTCAAATAATTTTACTTAACTGTTTTAAGCTGCCTATCCTGCCTTATTTAAGTATTGAGATAATCTATTTTATCCCAACTGAATGAGGAATGTTAACTAAAAACACTACACATGTATACCCCACTTACATGTGTGTACTTCACATGTATTGAGACACATTGAGCGTTTTCTAACGTACAAAGAATAAAATTTGTTTCATAAATCATAACTATATTTTTTAATTGATCATACATTTCCGGAAAGCAAACATTTAATCCCCATGTTAAAGTACAAACAGGGCCACAAAAATGTGATTTAAACAGTTTTACTAACTAACCTTGTTAGTGATAGAAAGATTTGTGTTAATTTCGTATTAATTACTAGCTGTTGTGCCCGTGTTTTGCAACGGGGAGAGGATGCGGAATAGAACCTTGTGGTCTTGAGATATATGAAATAATTATGCATCTATCTTTCAATTTAAAATTGAAACTTCTGTAACGCTTGGTTTGATAAAAATTATATTTAAATAAAGTTTGGGGTTTGAATTACAATATTTATTTAATTATGTATTCACTCCATTGGTCAAATACATAGATATGTGATAAAACGTATAAAAATTAATCAGCTTACAAGAAAATATGAAATGAAATGAAATGAAATGAAATGCTTTATTGTCGTTAAAACTGAGTACAAAGTTCATGACAATCGTCAAAAGAAAAAGAAAACAATCAATCAAGATGGCAACTAAAACTAAAACTCTAAACCAAAGTACTCTTCATGTTTATACAGGCAAGCCTGGGTTAGAGTAGTTTTTAAAACATGTTTAAATTTTGAAACACACAGGTTTTTGATGGATGCAGGCAAGAAATTGTACATTTTAACACCTTGGTACTCAAAACTATTTTGAGTGGCTGTATACTTATGCCTTAGTGTAGACAGATTATCTTTAGATCTAGTACAATAGTTGTGAACATCAGATATCTTTTCAAAGTGAGAAATGTTTTCTTTTACATACAACAAACTTGCCAAAACATACAAGGATGGAAATGAGAGAATGTTAAGACTCACGAAAAGGGGCTTACAATGTGTTCTTCTATTCACACTACAAATTAACCTCACCGCCTTCTTTTGTAAAGTAAAAAGCAGCCTGTTAGCATAAAAACTGTTGGCCCACAGTGAGGTACCATAGGACAAATAGCTATGAATGTGGCCATAATATATACAAATAAGGACATCATCTGAAACAGTGGACCTAAGTGCTCTTATCATAAATATGCCTTTTACAATTTTAGATGCTACAAAATCTACATGTGAAAACCACTTCAAGTTTGACTGCAAATGAAAACCCAAAAACTTCAGAGTGTTTACATCATTACCATTACTGCTTAGACTAATAGTCAGGTCCTGAGTCTTATCAGCATTAAGACATAACTTGTTTGCATTACACCAGTCGTTAATAACAGCAGATTTTGTGTCCAATGTGTCTGTAACATCATTCAAAGAGTTACCCCGTACACACAAGGCCAAGTCATCAGCAAAAAGAAAGCTTTTTACAGATAAGTCATTAATATTACAAGGTAAGTCATTTATATACAGTATAAACAGGGTAGGGCCCAATATAGAGCCTTGGGGCACTCCGTGGGGCACTCGAACAGGACTAGAATAAGTGCCATTTAGATAGACTTTTTGCCATCTGTCACTAAGATAAGATTGAAAGAACCTAACCAAAACATCATCAAGGTTATAGCAAGAAAGCTTATTCACAAGGAGATCATGAGCCACTGTGTCAAAGGCCTTAGACATGTCGTACGATCTGAACACTATACCACTTTTGGCCTCTAAACTTTGAAAGCAATTTGATATCAGTGCCTGGGTTGCTTGGACAGTGCTGTGTTTGGGCCTAAAGCCAAACTGACTACTTGCTAAAAGGTTACTATCCTCAAGATACTGAGAAAATCTACGATGTACGAGATGTTCCAAGACCTTCGACACTGCAGGGATAATAGATATAGGCCTATAGTTAGCAATGACATTTTTAGGCCCTTTTTTATGGACTGGTATAACCTTAGAAATCTTGAACTTGTTTGGGTAGCAGCCTTGTGTTATACAAAGATTAAATAGGTAAGTCAAAACTTCACTTATGTAACTAGAAGCTAACTTCAAGATGGGGACATTAATTCCGTAAATATCTAAACAAGAGCTATTGTTAAGACTGTTGATGGCTGCATACACCTCTTCTACAGTAAATAGTCCAATCCTAAAAGCATTGTTGTCCTCAATAGTCGGAAGAGCGTTGCAAGAGGTCAAATTTCTAAGATATTGCTCAGGACCATTTGAAGAGGCGGGAACATTACTTCTCAGGTTTTCAACACAGTCGACAGAGTAGGAGTTCAGTCCATCGGCAGTTAGGCAGTCAGGAATAGACAAAGGCTTACTATTACAGTTGCTTATTTCATTAATGATTGACCAGGATGTTTTAGAAATATTACTAGAGTTTAGCAGTAAACTGTTGTTATGGTCAAGTTTGGCTTTCTTGATTTCTTTGCGGTACTGCAACTTTAATGAGTTGTACTTAGTTTTAACTTCAGCAGTCCCTGCATTACAAAACAAAAAATATAGCCGGTCCAGCTCATTTTTCATATTTACAAGTCCTTGATGATACCACCTTTTGTTAGGTTTGTTGTTAAAACCGACAGTAGTTTTCAAGGGAATCGAACCATTTAAGGCCCACAACAGTTTGTCAAAAAACACTTTGAATTTAGCATTTAAGTCTAGGCTATGGTCATATAATTCAAACCAATTCAACTGACTAAGGTTGGATAAGAATTTTAAGGAATTCTGAGGATTTAATTTCCTAGTAACTTTTCTCGGTAAAGAAATTGGATTAGATTTAGAATATGACTCGATGTTCATTGACAGAAAGGCCGCATTATGATCAGAGACAGGAGTGTGTATAACTGAGGCTTCCCATCTATCTGGGTGTACTGAGGTCACAATATTGTCCAAGCAGGTACCTTTGTTTACACTTCCAGCTGCGACATTAGGCCTAGTGATTTCATTAATTGCAGTGTGAAGACCAAAACTAGATATTAGGTTTTTAAGTTCCCGGACTTCAATGCTGTCGGACAGAAATATGTCTGTAGGCATTTAAAAGACAGCTTGAAGGCAAATATAACAATGAATAGGAAAAAACCTTAATATGTTCATATAAAATATAACAATATAACATAACAAAATATAATGGATAACAATATTAATAACAATATAATAGGAAACAAGTATGGCAAAATATAATAATAACATTATAAATAGAAAATATAACAATAGTAGAATATATAAACAGGCAAAATGAAAGAAGAATTAAATACGATTCAGTATGGAAAAGACTCTTACTCTAAAGTGAATTTAAAACCCCTATTAAAACTAAATAGATACAAAATCTTATCTAACAGCTTAAGAAAAAACATGTTTTACCCTGACTTTTAAACAGTGAAGTCTATTTACCTGTAGCTCAATATATAGATTTTACAGAAAACCATACTTAGGCTTTTTTAAACTATTACAATTTTCTTTTGGAAAAAATATTCATCTTATTAAATAGCATAGAAATTTATACACTCTTAATTTATATCGAGAAACATAGTTACTTAAAGATTGTTTAAAACTACATGCTAAACTATAATATGCATTCAAAGTTTTCATAAGAATAACATGGCAATAATTTTGGAAGCAAGTGGGGTGGTGTCATAGTACAAGTATCAAAATAAAAATTAGGTCTATTGTATGTTTATCTGTGTTATATTTGTTGTATTACTGCACATCTTCAGCTTAATTTGTGCAACAGTTTTAACGTGAATTGCAGTTTAACATAGTTACAAAAACATAACATCTTTAACATTTTGATATTAGTGAGATTGATATTCTGTAGTTAATACTGTATCAATTATTAAAAAATCTATTAATTATGCCATTCGAAATTGTCTGGGTATCCGAGTGGTCTTAGTGTTCCCTTACAAATCTGAAGGTCGCTGGTTCGATTCCAAACGAGATTGTCACTAGACCCAGATGACATTTGTCATTGGGATATTAATTAATTATGCTTTCCAAAAACAGGTAGACGTCAAATTATAACAAAACCAGCGTTTGGACAGTCCTCATTCAAAAAAAACTTAACACTGGCGTAGATAGAATAAACAAATACATGTATATTAATGTTTTAGCATTTATTTTATTCAATTGAATTTTTTACCCTCATTGATTATCAATATTCTGTTTAATATTGACTCAAACATAATTTGAACTACTTAACACCCTAACTTAAACACAATATAAGATTCTAATAATCCAAGAAACTTAGCTGATATGCCTAGTACAAATATCAGTAATATCCTGGTCCTTTACCCGGTTCTCCCCCCCCCCTTCCCCCCTCGCATTTCCATAATACACTCCGTCGGCGGAAAACTCGGAAACCGGGCAAACCTACAAACAAAAAACAGTGGCACATTTTACACCCGGTCCAGTACACAGGAACGCCCACGCTTCTGATTGGCTGGCTAGGCGCGTACTCGCCGCCTTGGGCCAATCAGAAGGCAGGACGCGGGGCCGGCGCGGCGTTGCCGGAGCTGAAACCCCTCCACACCGGCTTTGGTCGCGACGCCGTACGTGCGGCCAGGGTAAATATTCGTTTTATTTTTGCAGAATTTCCCATTGTGTGTTACTCGAGTGTTTCCGTTTTTAGGTGAAATGTTTTTCATTGTGTTGCCAATAAGGTAGTGTATCTATGTGTGTTTGAAGTAAACTGTGCATGCCAATAACGTATTGTAGTAAATGATAATGCATTTTAAAATACATTTATTAAGTTTTTTTCATTTAGGTACAATCTAGAAAAAATATTTATAACTGAACAATGAGGAATGTAATATATGAAATATATATATATTTAAGTTAATTAAAGTTAGTTCACAGCGTAAATATATTTTTTAACATTACAAATTTATCGTTTAGTAATCTTTTTTGTAATATTTTAAATTATTTAATAACAGTCCTTTGATATAATTTTTTTATAATTTATGTTAGGTTTTTTTGTAAAATTAAAAATTGATTGCTTTTTACAAATATTATCTTCGTAAAAAAGTTTATTAATCAACAGTAGCAGGCAACTTTTGTTATAGATTTAGTGTAATAATATTTTACACTGTCATTGTAATTAATTGGTTGCATGCACCCTAAAGAATATATTAAGTAGCGTACTTAATTTTGGTTTGATTATTAACTACATTACACTTGGTGTCTATGGTGTGCATGCTGAATTTTATGCAAAAGCATTCGAAAGAATTACAGGAAATACAGTATAATGAATCTTACGATTTTAGAATTCATTGGCTTTTTAAATGTAGAAAACCCATTTGCAATTCCATGATAAACCTCATAAAATATATAGATATTTTTAATTATTAATATTTATCTTCTAACAGCAGCCTACAAATTAATAACTCCGAACTAATTATAAGAACTGCAAGTGTCAATCGTTTCGGTCGTTTTAATTTGGGTTTGATTAATGTTAATTCCATTTAACAAAACTTACTACATTAAACATACTTTCGAAAATGAAATCCTTAAACAAAAACTACAATCTAAGAAATTATATAAATTTCAAAATAGCATCTTGAAAAAATAAATTTTATCAAACTCTTGTGATCTCTAACTTTTACAGCATACTACATATTATTCAAAAAATTTTGAGCTGATTTTGTAAAATTCGATTTTTTATTATCATAAAGGTAAAACAGCATTTAGAAAATTCAAGTAAAAGAAATTGTGATTCCATAATTATAAACCATAACTAAATTAAAAAAATTGACCTTAGACGTGACTTTGAAAACATAGCTATCCTATTAAATAATGTAGATATTTCCATAAGGTATTTTTGGGGTACAGTGGGGATATTTTCAGAGCTCAAAGTAGAAACTTTTGACGAACACAATACTTTCTCCATATACTGTGTATGAGGGAGAAAGTAAAAACAATGTTGTTAGGGCTTTTTCTAGTCGTGATTTAAAATGTCCCTAATAATCTATTATTACTGAAAAATTAACTTCAAAACACTTACATTACTTTGTTTATTTTCATCAAAATTTTTGCTCGTATTCACCTCAAGCCTTAGAGTAAAAAATACCCCCGCCGCAGCAAACCTGACGCCTAAGCGAATTTCCATTTGGCTGAATTGATTTCCAATTGATCTATTTAAATAACATTAGGTTTAATGAGTACCTAGGTTTGCTGCTACAAGGAAACTAATAAAGTGTGTGTTTTAAGTAAAATAATTATTGCTTAGTATAAAATGAATATATTTGCCAAGTTTGATCAAAATATATCCATAAACAAGCAAACTACAACATTTTACAATATCCTCCATAAGAATAACATGGGAATTTTAAATTTACCATTTTTTTAGTTTTCTCCGTAACCAATAACCGTACAAAAACACTTTGATATACTGAATTGTTTGTTTTTTTAAGCTCTTTAAGAAGGTTTAGAGAAAAATTGGGAAATTTTGTGTTTTGAGGGTCAAAAGTGAGAAAAACCAATTTTTACCCCATAAAACCCCCCACAAAACCCTGTTCCCATGGTCCGATCATGCTGGATCGCGAACTCATTCAAGTTTATCCCGCCTTACACCTTCAAACCAAATTTCATCAAAATCGGATAAAAATTACTCAAGTTATCGTGTTCACGGACACACACACATATATATATATATATATATATATATACATATATATATATATATACATATATATATATATATATATACATATATAAAAATTTGAACGAGTGGTGTTTTTGGCCTCTGGGGACATCAAAATGAAAAAGTAAATCGGTCCCGGGCCGATTAATTATTATTATTAGATTATTAGATTATTTTTTACAATCTAAGTCTTACCATGAGACCTACGGTAATAGCTACTTCCCTATAGGGAAATTCGCTAAAAATAATAATCAGAGTAAGGGGTAAGCCAAGTACAGTACAATGATGATTTATACTGATAAATCTTAGTGGAAAAGTCATTTAAAATAGATGAGACACATGAAGTATTTGAAATAATTATAACTTTTTTTACATCCTTTCATATAAAATTCATCAATGGTAGAAATTTTTATACGTATTTAAAACGTTCAAAAAGTCTCACAATTAGACCACGTGTTGATAGGTTAACCAAATCAATAAAAATATCCAAAATTAAAAGCCCTCTATCTTCAGGTAGAATAGTATCCCTAAATGACATATTATAAAAAAAAAAAAAAAAACAGCTATAGAGATTTTTAATAAACCACAACATTTTTAAATTTTCTAATCCAACTTAATAGATAAGAATGTTATAAATTTGTTGTGTCTATAGTTTTTACAATATTTCAAGCCTATATTTTAGAGATGCTCCTTTCATAGCAAACCTGGAGACTAAGCTAAATTCGTGCTGAATTATTTTACTTTATATTCATGGACAGTACTAATAAAAAGGAACATTTTTTGGGAAAATTTAATGTTAAATAAGTTTTGCTTAAAAGGTAGCATGCTTAGATTGCCTGCTATGAAATAAACAAAAATCTGTTGTTTTGATTAATTTTAAAAACCCCACAAAGCAGTTATAAATCATCTTAAAGTTTTAAGAATTTGTATCCATAATCAAACAGTAGTTTGGATGAACTAAAAGTTCTGCGTTTAGTGATTTTAATATCTATAAAGCCAAGAGGTGTGAGATACAAAATTTTAATTTCTTTAAAAAAAAACTAAAGTAGTAGGCAAATTATTTACCTAATAAAGAACAATAAAAATCAAACTAAAGAATACAACCTTCCTTCGGACTTCCTTGGAGTGGTATAATCATGCGGGTTTACAAACCATTCAAATATATGTAGTTTTAGTTTTTAGGCGATTGATCAAAATTTTAAAACAAAGTCATATTTCGTCTAAGGGATTTAAGCACTCAATCTATAATATATCAACTAAATGATGAAACAGTAGATGATCACTATGGTAATTTACAGTTCCCTAAAGACGAACCCATTAGATTGGATGAACTGATTAAGTTTTGTAGTGGAAACAACAGAAATACAATATTCATTTTTGTGTTAATCTTAGCTTTTTTATTAGTTCTATTATTTTTAGGTGATGCTGCACATTCACGAGTTAGGGTTTCGTTTGTTCCCATTATAAAATCTACATTAATCTGACTTAAAAATAAATAACGAAAATATATAATTATTTTAATAACAAAATTATATTACTAAACCAATACAAACTTATCTATTCCAATAACAACTGAATAGTTTTATTATTCATAATGATTTCAAAGTTGCATTATTTTATATCGAATTGCCTGACTTTTTGAAGTTTTTTTTTTTCAATATCTTTCACAGTTCAATCCTTAACTTGGTTTGCATTCTGACATATGATTAAATTTCATACTCAACCCAGTTGAATTATGCCCTGCCCCACATTAAAAGCAATGGTTAGGCTAATTTGAAAAGGGGGGATAAGGTCTTAAAAATTAGTATGCAAAGTTACCAATAATTGATTGATTGATTAATATCAGAAAAAATAATACAAAGGCATGCCTGCAAACTCTTATGTATGATGAATGTATATATATATATATATATAAATTGGTGGGCATTCTACTACAATGACTTTGAATTATAAGATATGTTTTAAAATGTTAATTCAACATTTAAAGGGTGGAAGGAGTTAAGGTTTGGGGGAGGGAATTTCCCAGGCACACCCACCAGAATCTGCCAAATGAATTCGCAAAATCAATACTCCAAAACAAAACTTTTTAGTTCTTTGCAATGAAAATTAGAGAGAATCTGACTTTAGAGTTTTTGTTCTTTTTCAAATCGTGATTTTAAAAAGTTTTATTATAAATTAATTGTGAATAAGCACCCATTAATCAGGTTTAAAACTTCAAAATGTAATGATTTCTAAGCAATTTTTAAATGTTCATTTTGTTACATTAAATTGTTAAAAATTAACAATTGACATAACACATTAATATAGCGGTTTTAGCTCTTTTTACAAAGGAAATGTTATCAGAAAAAATAACTAGTGGTTTATGACTATTTTCACTATTTTTTTAATAATTTGTAAACCTAAAAAAAATTATGTGGAAAACAATTTTGAAACTTATCCTACTTCATATTCCCTTAATACTACACTGCACAGTTTTTTAACGGGTAGATAGTACCTTTGGCTATTAATACAACAACTTCTGTATCCAATAGTCAATGATAGTACACTATAGTTTTGGTATTGAGTAATGGGGTCTTCCATTGAAAATCATACGGGGAAATAGTGTTGGTCGAGTACTAAAAATATTAAAGTTCATAGATATTTTTTTAACACATTATCTAAATTATTGATGTAGCCAAATACAACTGTTTTATTGTGATTTTATCCCTCAAACTGATTTATTTACCATAAAACATAGCATCTTGGGTTTTCTAGGTTTTTTAGTACAAAACTTAACTGGATGTTTTAAAATCAAGATTTAATTAATTGTATAATACGAGTGTCAAAGATGGACGTTCAAAAAATGTTTTATCAAACGTCTTGGACCCAAAAGTAATATAAACAAACACAAAATAGACGTTATTTATAAGAAATTATATTGGGGTAGCACGTGCAATAATTCTGTATTCACACATACATTGAATTAATAAAAACTAAACTAATTAGCTATACAGCTATAGTCTAAAATAGATATAAGCTAAAATGTATTACCTAAAATATAAAGCTAAAATAACTAATTGGAGCTAATAATATAAACTAAACTAATATAAACATAAGTAGGACTAGTGAATAAAATTTTTTATTTATAATGATAGTTAATTTTCCTTGTCTTAAGTTACATGAAACTGTAAATGAAGGTACATTACTTATCATACATTTTTCAAGTTTCTGAAGCTAGTTAAAACTTAATTATATTTTATCCTTATTTTTGTATTTCTTCGTTACATTTACGTTACCTGCCTGGTTATTTTTCCAGAGTTATAACAAAATAAAGTATGTTTTTATACGCTTATCTAATGTACATATCATGTTTATTTAGATATTAATTAGTAGCTTACATCTCACCAGATAAACGTCGTTTTATATTTCATAATCAAGAGTAACTTTTTTCATAAAATAATAAATAACATGTTATTTTTTTACCTTCACATAATTATGGGGAAAGTATTGTTTCCGTAAAAATTCTCAAGTTTGAGTTGTGTGGATATACCAGTTTTGTGTCCTCTGAGCAAAAAAAAATGTGTGAGTGTATGTGTGTTTGTATATATATGTATTTGTGGATATGTACAGAGCTAAAGATCACATTTGTGGTCAAACTTTGATTAAATGTTGTATGTACTAATCCAAAGCATCTTCGGGTAGTTTTTTTATCCTCCTAAAACCCAGGGTAAAAGAGGCGTTTTCTTAAGTAAAACCAAGTGTCCTTTTAAAAGGACATCGTTTCATACTGATGTAAAACACGGAGAAACTGTGACAACTTCTAAGAAATTATATTGAAATTTGTATTTTTAATCGTGATTTTACCACGAAAACCCATTAGTAACAGAAAATCGTATAGAAACGGCTCAAACGGTTTTTATTCAATTTAGTAAAATTGTATAACCCACATTTCAAAAAAACTTTTATAATATTTCCGAAGAAATCATAGTTACTCCCACCGCTTACCCATGATAAGGGTTGTTGACAAGCTAATATGAGAAAGTATGTGTCATATAATTTTATTCTTGGTCTAAGTACTTATGTAGCTCATATTGTGTATCCTTAATCAACCTATACTAGAATTGATGGTATATTCCAGGACCAGGAGTGCCTAGCGATGGTGAAGGGATAAGGACAGCAATGCCAGGACTTGGAGCTCTAGGGGCTCTCTCCGTCCTTAAGGATGGCATTAAGGATAAGGCGTCTGGCATCTTCCGCAGGTAGGCCTAATACATAATACATTAGGCCTAATACATAATACACAATACAAAGGCCTAATACATAATATATAAGGCTTAATACATAGTACACAATACATAGGCCTAATACATGATACACAATACATAGCATACATAAGGTAATAGTTTAACATACTTGAAGCTGTATAATTTTGAAACAATAATGTAAATGTGTTCAATTTAAGGATACGGAAATGTGGCATGTATATGTGGAATGTGTATATTTAGATAATATTAATACACATTATCTTAAACTATAAACACTCTTCTAAAGAGAAGACATTACATTTCTATGTCATAAAGTAAAAAAAAAAAAAAAAAAAAAAATGTTTAGCCAGTATTATAATTTGATATAAATGTTGATTAAAGGGAACAATAAAATGTGCTTCTGATGGAAAAGTTTGATCTTTACCGTGATGATAGCGAAATTCTCAATAGTCCAAGTCCAAGTTCATATGATTGTGGCGACTAGCGCCACGTCTGGGGGAAGTGCCTGCTCGCTGGGAGCATATACTTCCGGTCTGCTGTGGGTCCAAGCCCTGGTAGCTCAGCTACCTGTAGACGTCAACGTCGTTCCTGGTGGGTTACTCGTTGATCTGGGGGCGGAGCTGCGGAACATCCTCAGCGACCAGGTCCCTGATGTGTTCCCACGGAGAAACATCCGCCGTCTCTTCAAGTCTTGCTCGAAGGCCGTCGACGAAGTCTCGGAGAGTTGTCACTGCTGTGGAGTCCCTGATGACGGAGTTCCTCACGTACCAGGGTGAGTCTGTCGCCTGCCGAAGAGCCTTGCTCTGGACGACGAGCAGCCTCCGTCTAGCGGTTCTGCAGGTGAGGTGGTACCATGCAGGGGCTGCGTACGTGAGGACAGGCCGAAGCAGGGCCGTGTAGAGTCGGACTCTTGCAGCCGTCGACAACTTCCGTGACCTGAGCAGCGGGCGGATGGCGCCAAGACCTTTCCTGGCGAGGTCGCAGACCCTCTCGACGTGGGGAGTCAGGGTGAGTCGCTGATCCAGCAGGACGCCGAGGTACTTCACCCGGCGCTTCCATGGGATGTCGGCCCCGGGAAACGGACTTTCGGCCTGCGCTGCCCCTGACTCGGCCTGGGCTGCCCCTGACTCGGCCTGCGCTGCCCCTGACTCGGCCTGGGCTGCCCCTGACTCGGCCTGGGCTGCCCCTATTATGTGGTGTAAAGGGTAGGTTTCTCGGGAGTAGGTACCTGACCTGAGCTTGCGCTTTACCCACTAAATCCCAGGAATCTCCCGGAAATACCTGTGGGGTGGTGGACAGGGTCGTCGACACAGGAAACAGGGCAAATATCATTGGAGCCAACCTTCTAGGAAATACATTACTATTGGATTATAATACTGCTGTAATCTTTGGCATTAACGACTCAGGAAGTGATGGTGTCTACGGGTGGTGGATATCCGCCCCAAATAAACCTATTTTTGTTTCAAAATTTTAGATTCAAAAATACTCAAATTCTTACTACATATAATAAATCTTTTATGCTTCTTTTAATACTGTATATGATAGTGGTTTTTAGTACTGTATTATGACAAATTTAAATGTAAAATACTTGCAGTTATTTGAACTTGAATTCATTATTTCTTAGGCCGCGAACGCTAAATATGTAACAGATGTTCGTGTACAGTAGTTAAACAATAAAAAATAGTGCATTTCATCACTAGAGGGTACCTATTTAACAGTACTGTATTACGAAACATTTATATGTAAAATACTTGTAGTAATTTGAACTTGAATTCTTTATTTCGTTGGCCGCGAACACTAAATATAAAAGTAACAGATGTTTGTGTAAGGTAGTAAAACAATACAAAATAGTGCATTTCATCACTAGAAGGTGTCTATTTAACTTTACTGTATTACGAAACCTTTAAATGCAAAATACTTGTAGTAATTTTAACTTGAATTCTTTATTTCGTTGGCTGCGTACGCTAAATTTTGGCCGTAAATTTTAATTTTGATACTTACTTGTTCTGTGTTATTTCACCTAATAACAACAGTACATTTAATTCCATCCAACATATTTTTTGTTGGAAATGCACAATATTGAATTGTGTGTTCCAATTATTAAATTGCAAATAACATTAATTAATTGTTGAATGAAATGCATAGGGGCATTTAATTCCATCCAACTGAATTTTCTGATTTTGTATATAACAAACTGTAAATTTCTTTTATTGATTGTAAATATCTACATCACTAGAAGCCTTTTTGTAGTAATTGATCATTTAAACACTGCAGTTACAAGTTTAATTTTAATATTTTGTTGTACCAATACACCAGACTGTTAATTAATATATACGATTATATTTTAAACACATTTTTATAACATACTTGTCTCTTGTTACATTGGTTTAGTTTTTAATTTCGTATTTTATACTTAGTGTTTATCTGGGTTTTACATAACAAATTGTTATTTACTTTCACTTTGTATTTGCTTGTAAATAGGACACTACCAGAAGTTTTTTTAGGTAAACATTATTTTAAACACTGCAGTTTTTTGTTTACCTTACACCAGACTGTAATTTAATTAAAGTAGGCCTATCATTATTTTTATACTACGTCTCTTGTTTAAATTATCTGAATGAATGTACCCCCGTGAATTCACGGGTGAACAGAAACCACCATTAAATTAATTTAATCAACTTTGACTTTATATTTCATTTAAAGGGCCCAAGTTCGAGAAATTTTCATGTGAAAGGATGTTAAATGCAGTGGAACCTTCATACCTTACGTCCTAAGGTTGGCCGAGGTTGTACCTGAACACGCAGCTCTCTTTCACGACATCTTTAATACTTTTCAATGAAATTGCGATCTGTTAAAGATCGGTGACAAACTCTTGGAACGAACAACATACATGGTTTGTTAATCTCATAGTCATCATGGTTCGAACACCTTTAGTTACTCACTTGTAACAAACACTTATAAATAGCTTCACTGTCCATTCACCGCGACTCTTTTAAGAACGTAAAAGTAAATAATAAAATAAGTAAACAAAAATGTAAACAAACAATAGTTATTTGTGTAACTAGTGGTGAAAGTGGCACTTTGCTGCACACGAGAGCAATGTTTACGCACGAGCCGCAGGCGAGTGCGGAATGATCTCGAGTGCAGCAAAGGCCTTTTTCACTCGTGTTACACATTATATTTTTCCTACAGTCACTATAAAGCATATAAATAATTAGTCTTTCAAACACTATACAACACGTTTTTAGGTTCAGCTGGCGACACAAATGGTGCCCTAGAGAAAGTAGTACCCGCGGTCCGTATCACTCCGCTATTTTTCCTCGGCAAGAAATGTGCTCCGCGTTTTGAGAATATAGTTCCGTATGTTTTTCTAATTTGAAGTGGTTTCCGCGCCTAAAAAAAATGCTTTAAAGATATTTTCTTGTTTATTAAGATCGTAGGAATGTTTTAAAAACGTTTAAAAGAAAAGTCCAGAAAGTTCAGAAATACCGAAACTATAAACACGAAATGACAGGTTAAATCGTAGTTATAATAGTCAATCAGCTGCTCATAGTATTTTTATCTTTAAGTGTTGCCAACCTATTTCCAAGCGTACACGGATTACGTGCATAATAAAACCACGCTGTTTTGTGTTGTTTCGTTGGAATCCTGATGTGCGGCAAAGTATAAACCGTACGGCAAAGTATAAACCGTACGGCAAAGTATAAACCGTACGGCAAAGTATAAATATGCAGCAATTAGCAGCTTTCTGTACTATAAACAGTACAAGGAAGCCAACTTTGTCGTGTGACTGTAGGAAAACTATATTGTCGATTGCATTGGCCAGCTGTTGTTCACTAAATTAATCAAATAATAACTTCCAAAACATGCAAGGCGTAGCCTTTTGAAAATCAGCCTGTGGGGCAGAGCCCTTAGGGAGTTCGTCCATATCAATACTTTTCGGCAAAATCTACACACTCTAAGCTTCATTTTGATATGCCATATGCCTATATTTTTATTTGGTAAATGGCCTTAACCGTTTACATAAAATTTGATTGTATCACTGTAATAATATAATATACTGTTGTATGGATAATATTTTTGTACTATTGAGTGGATGGATTCTTATGTAAACAAGCCTTGAAATCATATTAAGTGAGACTAATTCGTCAACGTTTGTGATTTATGAAAGCTATAGTGACAATAGGCGGATGGTGGCCCCACCTTCTGCAGTAGCCTATCTATAAAAGCTATAATGTATATACAAAACTATAATATCTATTTTTAATTATATTATGATGGTCAATTTATACATATCCACTGTTTTTGTATCTTGAACTGAGGTGACACAACTAAACACAAATATACAACTTTTAGCACGGTGTTTGTAACTAAACTAGCCCAAACTTAGATTTAAAACCATCTAATACCTGCTCTTGCTCTGGAGTGCTCTGGGGCTCAGGTCCTTCTTGGAAGTACAGTACCGTACCTAATCCTATTCATAGTTTTTGACCAGCTTGCTGTGTCAAACACCCCATATCGCCCCTTCCCTACTTCCCTCTTACCCACAAAATCTTTTCAATTTACCTATAGGGAATCTTTTGGGGACAGCAGACTCAAAGCTACCCACGTTCCCTATTGTTTGTTGCGGAGGGTAAGTTTCTCATAATCACCCCAGGCCGAAAGTCCTACACTCGTCGGCCCCGTCTAGGTGGAGGTGTTGACCATCGTCCTGCCTCCTCGACCTCGTGAAGGAGATGGCCTCACTCTTGTCAGCGTTGACTTTGACTCGCCACTTCGTCAGCCACGGCAGCAACAGGTCCAGCTGCCGCTGGACATACACCCTGGACATCCTCAGGTTGGCGGAGGTGGCAGTGAAGAGCGCATCATCTGCATAAAGCGAGAGCTGCACTCTCGGCGCCAGGGGTATGTCATTGGTGTACCACAGGTAGAGTATCGGCCCGAGAACCGACCCCTGTGGCACACCCGAAGAGACTGGCCGTGGTGTGGAGGTC